TAATGTGCTGCCATAAAAAACAGAATCTAGTTTGCAGTTTGAAGTATAGAGGCCCATGGGAACAGTGTAGTTTGGGTCATGGTGAAGTTTGCTTTATAACTTTGCGACAAGACCGAATCCAACTCATCCCGTCGTGACATGCAAGGTGGAGATGACACTGATGCTGTTGTAATTCTTGATACGCTCAATAGACTCAATAGTTGAAGGTCGTACGTTCGGGTTGAAGATCAATGGTTGCTGGGTTGATGTTTCTTCCCTGTCGCCTTTAAGTTTTAGGGTTGTTGGATCATGCTGGTTAATAAAGGCTAACAGGCTGAGCCTAAAATGAACAAACTCCGATGTCCTGGAACGTCCGAGCTTGTGGCGTGCCGCTTCGGGTCGTCTTGCGAGGCGCGTATGCCTCGAAATCAAGGCACAGCTCTGCTTGCTTCTCCCGGCAAGATATGTGTCTGATAGGATAGCCCTTACCAATAAATCACTCTTTAGCATCCGCTCCAGCTCACCATGGCTTCCAACAATGCGCCAATGTTTCCCGGCGTGTTCCCCATGGCTTCTCGTCGCATGGTTCCAATGGCTTCCAGCGTTATCTGCGTGACTTCCAGCCCCAGGAACATGACTGCCGGCATCAACATAATGGGAGGACATGGCTGGCAATTCGATGCAATGATTTCTTACCGGGATCGCGAGATTACCAGGACATGCGACCGATAATACTTTATTTGTTGCCTCTGCAAGGTCTCAACACAAGAACATCATCGCACCTTAACTTGAAGCGAAGGTGAGTCTTAAAGCCTGACCCCAGTCTACTAGTCCGACTGGCAGCTCACAGCCAGAACGCTTGGTTTCAGTCTGTTTGTTTGAAGCATCTTGAAGGGAGCAAGGAGTAATTTCCGTGTCTGAGCCTTACAAGGCCACAGTCATATAGGATCGGAACTGACTGAAAGTCGATACCTTCCAATGTGCACATGCGCGAAATGCACGTGTTCTATGTGCAGGCTAGATGTACCAACAAGGACTTCATGTGGGTGTGTCTGAAAAGAGGGTGCACCGATGATCAAGGGGTGATGACCCTGCCAAATATGCCGTTGGAAGACTACTTGCATCTTAAACGGGTGAACAAACTAGTTCCGTCTCAAGAATAGCCCTCCCACGGCTCGCCTGCATCTCTGGCCATGTGCCATCTCGGCCCATGTGCCATGGCAGAGCTCCGAAGCCACATCCTTGACGGTATCATTGGAAGTCATTCTTTGCAAGCTGGAGCTGCGTGCCATGTCCCCAGTCACTGTAGTATACAGTATGTTACATACATAGTGTTCTCGCAAATCTTTCAATGCGAAAAATCTGAAGAATTTCAAGCGAGTTCCCTCACGCCAAAGCGTCAAGACCACCTGAAGGTGACATGAGAGTGCTGCGAATCACTTTGCAAAGCCGCTTGGGCTGAAAGGGATCCGATCATAACTGTATACGACAACAAAATGGCAACGTTGATGAAGATTTCAGGAGCCAATTTTGGGTCCTAGATCATGGGTCCCAGATGAGGCCTGACAGCCGCCCTTTGGTTCCCTGCATCGCTGCCAACAAACCGGCTTCCAGATGCACATTGGACATCAAAGACTGCGGCGTGTCGCGACTCAAAGTTGTTTTTTCAATCGCGAAGCACGACTCCTTAACTGTGGCATTGCGGCAGCCATTTGGCTTAGCTGAGCTCTGTTCGCCAAAGCGTTCTGGCTAAGCGCTATCGTGGCATGTGTCGGCCGGCCGATTGTCCTAAGCCGAAGCCCTATAACTCTTTTGCCCATCTTAAAAGACGGCTGTATCTTTCGTGGGCAAGCGTCAGAGCTGCAAGCCATAAGAAACGACGTTGGAGCTGGAACACAAACAGGGTCAAGCCTTCACCACCATATAGTACTCAAAAATTGTCGTCATGGTGCTGACTGTTGGATGCACAGGCATGAAGCCTCGGCACGCCGTGGAGCGTAATGGATGACTATATATCGGATTTATACGAGAGGATCTGTAAAACAAATATACATCGCTATTAAAAATAGTGCTGCTGGGAATGTTTATTTAAAGGTCACCCACCCAGGAATCAAAGTAGAATATGCGCTATCGGGATTCTTATGCAATAAGTATTTTCAAGGAGTTCAGAAAATTGAGATACGGCTGATAAGACTTCATTGTAAGGAGAGATAATCTTTTGCAAATTATAGCATGGTCAAATTTCATCATTCAATAACTTCCACAAATATTACTCTATGGAACCCAGATTTCGAGCAGATAAGGATGGTACGAATATATAAATATAAATAAATAAATAAATATATATATATATACATATGTGGCGAGCCAGCACTAATATTTCGTAGCTTAGAACTTACCAAATTTCACTATAATATATAACAGGCTTGCATTGCTATTTCTGAATATATGGGGATGAAGTATGAAGCTATTTCGGAGAGTGACACGATGAATTTATCAATTAATAGCGGTGTGGAAAATATGATATAGTGCCCAATGATAACCGAATCGATGTAATGGAAAAAGTTCTGAGGTAAATAAATCTAGTATGGAGTCATTGTAAGGATAAGCAGCGCTTTACATCTTTAAGAAAATATTTTTCCCAATTCAGATAAGTCAGGTAAGATCTTATGCAAATATTTCTATAAGATGATTCTGATATGCTGATACAAGAAATAAATGCTTCAGTATTCGGCAGATAGACATGTTATCAATAGCATGGAGATTATGTTATGCAAAGAAACGAAACATATATTTTTCTCCCGGTCAAAAAGCTATATACGATCTGTTCAACATGAAAGACACACGTTTCTTGATTTGAAAACAACCCTTCACAATAATAAACCTATATATATATATATATGAGTGCATGAAAGCAATCGCATTCAGGCACAGGGATATCTTATTCAGAGCACTGCAGCCGCAGATCCAGGGAATCTCTTTCAACACTGAAATTTGGTGATATGTAAAAACTCATAATTCCAAACAATCTAGGTCGCCTTAAGGCATGAATAAAGAACGGTTCAACATAAATTGTGCGAGAACACTTATACATTGACAAGAATATATCGACGACTCCAATGTAATTAGTTTCGCGCAGTTCGATTCATTATTATTCATGGGTTTCCGCTCATCAGCATTCCGCAGATATAGAATATGAGCATAGCAAATAAACAACTGGAATCGATCCGGATTCAAAATCATAACAACTCATACTGAGCTATATATAAATATAAATATAAACATGAATATATATATATATATTTACTTATGTATTTATGTATTTATTTATTTGTTTCAATAAAAATGAAGCGTCTAGATAAACATGAATGATTTATGAGTTACATCGGTTTCCACATATTGTTGTTAGCTTTATTCCAGTTCAACAGTATAGAAAGTAGGAGGAGATACTACGCTGCCTTACCTGGATAATTAACATATATGTACTTTTGTGTTTGCCCCTTACATTTTGCGAATATTAAACTTCGACTCTCTTTTTATGACCATAATCAATATCCTATTAAAACAAACTGTATCTATAATTGTACTGCAGAATAATGGGTACCATATAAGCTCTAAGCCCACCACTAAATCAAGTATTGTTTAAATCGATTTTTGCTCCAGAGCGACCCTTCTTTACACAGGCTTGATGATTGGAGCTCGCCCGGCCAACTAACTCAAAAATTATCAGGATACCAGAATTCCAAGATATTCCAGAAGTATAGAAATATGAGTGGGGAAATATTTCGCAACTCTTAACAGAGTGTCCCTTATTCGATCATATAAAATCTATATATATATATGCTATCATCATTATTTTTTTGGAAATTCCATTGTGAATGTATCATCTCTATTCTACATCTTTATTTAACTTACAAAATACTATACGAATTTCATAAATTCGCATAAAGATAAATAAATCGAACCAAATAAAGGAAACAGAAGCTAGAGATAGATTCAAACCAACACTCAACTCGCTTTCCCGACTCGACCCGAGAACAGGGAAGCCCCGAGAACGTCGTAGATAAATTGACAATGCTAAACGTCTATGCGGCCACTGCTTGTGCATAGCATCGTCCAAGTTTCAGAGATAAAGAAAATCAGCCAAATAAAGAGACATCGACGAATATAGTTAGAGGCAAGTAAAAAATAGACAGAGACAACGACAGCTAGATGAGATAGAACGAGATCCACAAAAGTAGAGAGAACAGAAAAAGGGATAACCCGAAAAGATAGATAAATAGCGCTAGATGCACCAGACCGATAGACGCTCTTTCTTCTGGCAAGCCTCCTAGTTGTTCATACATGCGCTGAATCCGGCGAGATCGAAAATTCGAGAAATATGATGAACAATGCCGATCCAGGGGTTCTAAATAGTTCCAAGAATTTTCGGACCCAGAAAAATTATGAAAGTTTGAAGAATATCTGAGAATGACAAATATAGTCCGCACAAACAGCCAAAGGTCCGGAAGAAGAAAGGGGCTGTTCACAGGGAGTTGTGCGCCGGAGAAATAAAGCCTAGCAAGTATTCTTTCATAGAGGTATAACCTGTATATACATAAATTACATAAACAACTATATTAGTATACATGTAAAAATATAAATAAATATATACCTGTACATAGATATGTACCAAACAATTTTCCATGAACGTTTTACACTATAAATTCAGGATTGTAGTTATGCTCTCGCAACTCGGATGCAGTCAGACGATATCTCGGTATGAAAGGGCCAGTCATATTTCTTCGAATCAATATTCGATTCTTAGTATGTTGGGAAAATACCAGTTTGAAGACTCGATGTCCCAATCAGTCGGTGTTATCGCATATTCAAGCATCTTTCATCGCAGGGCTTCCCTTTTTTTTCAGCTTCCCTGTCCTGGCTCTATAAGTTGGAGTCTGCTGATCTTGTCTACCCTCCAGTGCCCTCTTCACTGGCTTCTTCTTGCACCACAGGTGGGTGCGCATCCTCAGCTTCGGACATCAGCAAAATGCGGGTTGCACAGAATTCTCTGTGCTGAAGGCGGTCGGCTGCTTCTCGGCCATTTTCGGCGGCTCCACCTCAGTCAGCTCGGCCACTCGAGGCTTCTTGCACGGTGTGCCCTCCAGCGGCTTTCGTCGGCGACGGGGCGGGGTAGTTCTGTCAACCGCGGCTTCTGTGGATGTAGGAACCTCGTCATCGTTGTAAATGTGGAACGGCAGCCCCATAGCTTCGGCTGCTTTCTCATCTGCACCCGTAGTTTCTGCCGTATGATTGAGTGGAAGAACCACTTCCTCCGCGCACATTTGTGTTGATGCAAGCTCATAATCATCCTCGTATGTGTGGAAGGGCAGACCCATGGCTTCTGCAGCCTCCTCGTCCGCTACGAGGCAGTCTGCAGTGTCACTCGCCGCGAAGTCTGCCTCCACCCGGGTTCCCACCTGACTTTCGGGGAAAGTGACATCATCATCGCAAATGTGGAATGGGAGTCCCATAGCTGTGGCTGCCTCCGAATCTTCAAGAAATCCCCCTGACATCTCCTGCCATCTCCAGCTCGCTAGGAAATAGTCGCGGATATCAGTTTGGCCGACAAGGACAGGCGGCACACTCTCGCAGGGATGGCTGCCCACAACCTCCATGTCACTGCTGTTGTCCTCTGACTCCGAATCTGGGAAGGAAGCCGGAGATCCCTCGCGATGGTAGAACTTCTCGACGAGGGCATCACTGAAGTGTCTCTTGGCGATGCCCATGGCTAGCAGAGGGGTACTCTAAATGTACTTCTGCTTGATTCCCCCCAAAAAAACACTTGTGCCAAGTCACGGCGGCAGACGGATAGAATGCTGGCCTGAAGCGCTCGTTTCGTGACACAAGGCACTTGGAATGACGGGGTCATGTTAAGGCTGGTGACGTCCTGAGCTGGGCCCAGGCCAGGGCAGTCAGGCCCAGCCACCAACTGAATGGCTGCTTGCTTTTTGTGTCAAGCTTTGTGCACCTAAGGTGCAGCAGTTTCGGCCGCTCTCCTTGGTGCTTGCACCTGCGCAACAGGTCGGCACTGTTTTCTGCCGTTGTCCACACCGCTCTGCTTGCTTGCTCGCTTGCTTGCCTTTCTTTCGCACGGCCTAGGGCCTAAGGCTCGCTGTCTCTCTGTCTCTCTTGCTTGCTTGCTTGCTGGGCGTTTGCTCTCTCTCTCTCTCGCTCTCTCTCTCTCTCTCTCTCTCTCTCTCTCTCTCTCTCTCGCTCTCTGCACGAAGGCGGATTCGGCAAGTGCTGGCCTGAAGAAGTGCTGCAACTGGATGATGGTCCTCAGCATGGGAGACTGTGATCGGTGTAAACCTTGACGGATTATGACAGCTGCCAGGGCGATGTTGAACGATGCAATCCTGGAGTGTCATGAAGCTTGGGGAAGATGGCCACTCTCGCATGGATATCCTTTCACCAGGCGGGCTTCCGTGGTACTTTGAGCAAAAGATGCGCGCATGAATCTGAGACAGAGTACGCCGTGGTACGGTGGACAAAAACAACTCAGCGTCGCCTCCGTTGCGCAATGGATTTCTGAGTGGCCGGAGGTCCCATCAACTTGGCCCCAGGCACTCGTAAGCTTCAGATCTGGAAACGACAGGTACCTAAGCAGGTCAAAACGGGACGAACCAGGACCGTCACTGTGCTCAGCTGTCACTTCTTGCACCTGCCGTGGGCGTAAGAGCATGGCTCTTGCTTCGATATAGCTCCGGAGAAAATATGTGAGATACTCATATCAGCACGCGGCCAGCTTTTTGCAGACCCCTCTGTTGGGCGCAAGCCGAATGATTTACTGATCTCGATCTCGGATTACTGGCTTTGAGCAATGTCCGAGATTGCCACTGCAGAGTAGTGGCTGCCTCAAGCATCCTGAGACAGCCAACATTAACACAAAGAGCCCGTGCATGCTTACCAACGCATGCCTGCAGGAAAATGAGCTGGGACTCAGGGTTTTGAGATCTTAGGGCTTAGGGATCCTCATCCAGACGTGTGCCGGAGTAGGATCTAGCCGGCGCTGCGGAAGGCGCAGCACCAAATTCATCCGTGTGATCTCGATCCATGCCGAGTCGAACTGACTCACCTGTTGTCTCCACAAGTTCCTCGCCAGCGAGCTCAGCGAGGACGAGCTGTCTGTAAAGGGGCTTGCAGCTTTCTTGTGCAATGAGCCGTGGCAAGCGGCGCCACACGAAGGCATCGCGAGCCTTCACGTCGCCAGAGAGCTCCAAGAGAGCCAAGGCCTCCGACTCCAGGCTCGCGATGTGCTCGGAGATGTCCAAATCATTGGCGTCGTCTCCGAAAGGGTCCTCCAGCTCGGTGGAGATAGCATCGATACCCAGCAATGCAAGCATCACGAAGATCGGAACCATGACGCCGCCGAACAGGCCAAGGCTAGGATCCTCTGTGAGCGGGAAGAGGACCATCCACACTGTCAGGAGCAACTTGCACAGGCAAACATATGGTAAAGGCAAGGGTGTTGAGATGATTACTGTAACACCCTCATAGGAATCCAGCGCAGACTTCAGGAGACTGGCCATTAAAGGCACCAAGCGCTCCTTAAGCCCATGCGGAAGGGAGTTGAAGGCGTCGTTCATGTTCATCACAAGGTTCTCCTTGATGAGGTAAGCCAGAGCTAGATGTGCTCTGGCAGCTGGCTCGGTGTTCACTTTGAAATGTGAGGGCCAGTCCCGAGGGGGGCCTTCATCGTAGCTCTGGAACTGTTGTTCAAACTCCTGGAGGGTTGTGGCTTGGCTGCAAAGGATGTTGAAGTGGGCGTCCACAGTGCGGAACTCCCAGTCCTTCAGGAGCTGACGCAAACGGAACCTGTCCCAGTCGACGGCCCACTTCGTCCTGCGAGAAACGCGGCCAAAGCAGTAGCCCGAATGCTGAAGCCGAGTATGTGTCTTCAGCATTACTGCGAAGGCCACGCACAGTCGCACAGCTGTAATGCGAGCCCTCCTTGCTAGCTCATCGTTCTCATCTTCTTCAATAACTTCGAGCTTGTTCCCACAGTCCCAGTTGACGGTTCTTCGGCCGCCGCGAATGTAGAGGTTGAAGAACATTACATAGTCCCTGATGTCTTCAAAGAAGCGGGAAATGTAAGTGCGCCCCTCCCAATACCTAGCATTGGCTTGATTTGCCCGAAAGATCAGAAGGAAGGACATTGTCCCACCAAGCATCTGCAGATTCTTCTCGGCCTCCTCCATCATGTCGAAGCGCCAGTGCTGCCAGCCCAGTAGTTCGTAGGCACCATAGATCACGAGTATCAACAATAAGATCCGTGGCCACACAACTGGGAGCACGCTGCCGGTCCAGGTGAAAATGACTCCTACCCAGCTCCTGTCGTCGTAGATGATCATCGAGTGACTTTGGCAATGTCACCAAGCGACCCAGAGCCGTGAACCGTGAGCCTTCTTTGGCCCAGCATTGGAATAAGCGCAATCGCGGGGCCAGCGGTGCCGCTCTTTACACCTTACACCAGAAAGACCATGTGCCCGCAATGGAAGCATCAAGGTATGGCAAGCCAAAATGCCACGGAGACCGCATCTTTTGTCCTGATGTTAGGACGCGTGCCTTCAATTCATGGCCCGACCGACTGCCTCTCACAGAGTCTGCGCCCCAACTTGCCAAGTCAAGTTGCAAAGTTCGGAAGTTGCGAAACGTCGAAAGGACTGATCATGCACAAAAGGACAGTGTTCTCGCATCTTGGAAGCTCTGAGCTCATGGCTCCAGAATGTCTGCAGTTGCCGTACTGGAGGCCTTGTACACCACCCGATCACACCTCAAGAGCAAGGAAATCTCTTGAGCACGAGCACGCGTTGCAAACACAATAAGGTTTAAGAGAACACCAAAGGGGTTCTGGCCATCCTTGTCCTTCCTTCGTCGACCCTAGACGACGATAGGCCCGTGAGTGCATTGAAAACGACATGACAAAACGAAGTAATCACGAGAGCCATCTCGCAGTCATCTGTCACGGTCCTTCGCACACAAGGCTTCCAGGCCAAAACTCCTCAGCTCAAAACCTTCTTTTAGAGTTCGAAATCTGTCCATCTGGCGCCCGGGCCAAGCAGGGCAGCGCTTGGTGTTCAACATGCTGGTTCCTCCAGGATGTACGACACTTGCAGAAGAGGCCGGTGCAATCCGGAAGATGCACATTGAGGAGTGGTACATCGATGCAACTGCCCAGCCTATCTTGTACTTGTACGTGGGCGGAAAGCAGATAACGCCTGGAACGGAATCAGTGGGGTGGAGCTGGAGGGAGGAGCTTCAGGCACAGCTGATGAAGAGCGGCGGGGGCCAAGGTTGCTCCGGTGCCCGGCCAATGACTCCGTAAGTAGCTTTGGGGGAGGTCAAGATAGAGGCTTGCCGATTTCGCACAACCATCCACCCCTGCAAGGGATATGGCAACAGCACTAGAGCAAAACAGGACACCGACCCGCAACCAACACAAACCCTCATAAAGTGCTGCCGGGCGCGGAAGTCTGAGAAGACTCAAAGCTGGGCTGCACTCACAGAGCAACTGCGACAATGGAAAGTACAGCAGCAGTCCAAGCGAAACATGCAGCAGGAGGCAGGTATTCTGCTTTCTGGGCATCTGGATGCATCGCACTACATGACGGTTGAACAGAAACCCTGAAATAGCTCTGACAGATCTGAGAGCATGCCAGCTGCGAGCAGTGGGTGTGCAATAGGATATGATCCACTTCGCAGAGTGAGGGTTCGGACACAGCTCCCAGAATGATGACAAATGGATCACCGGATGGCTTCATGTCTACGTTGGTCGTCAATCTTACTGGACTTTGGCATGTGTTATAGAACCAAAGAACCCGACTAAACATACAAAAAACAAAGCTAACATTGCGAGAGCTGAAGGCAAGCCCCTCGCAAAGCCCAAAGTCCTGCTAGAAGTCGAACCGGCCTTCGCGAAAGCCACGTAAACAGGAAACCTGCGACACGAGAACGGCTCTTGGATCTGCAGGGCCCCACTCAACACGGCAGAGCTTGCAAGCCTGCGATCCAAGTCTGCCTAAGTTAAGAGGAAACTGGATTGCAGATTTGCAGAACCTTAGGGCTGCATCATATGTTAACCTCCTCACGGCCTGTCCCAGCATGATCTGATCCAGGGCCAGCCATGCCTGCAACGGCAGCTTGTGCTCATGACTCGACAGAACAGCCATAACTGCTAGCTACATCAGGCTGCTCCCGTGCCTCCTGAGGACCTTGTGGCCAGGAAGCGTCTTTGGGCAGGTCCTGCTCACAGGCGATGATTCCGGCCAGCTTCAGCTCGAGGCGGCGGGCTTGGGTTCGTGTGAGGGCAGCGCAAAGGTCGCTTCTGCCGGCTGGGACAACCCTGAAAGATTTTAATTTCGATATCACACGAGGAGTTCCAGCAGAAGGACTGAAATGGAGTTTCTCCAGTGAAACTTGCAAAGAAGCATCAGTTCCAAGTCGAGTTCAGCAACTGTAGCATGCAAGACAGGGCGAGTCCAAACGTGCATTGAAATCGCCGGCGATGATGCACAGGTCATGCCTGGCTTCGCCACTTCGCCGACAGGCTCGAGTTTAATCTAGATGCCACTAGACGGTTATTGAAATCACAACAAGAAGTACATGACCATACTTCAACCGTGCCGGGGACGTTGGGCAGAGTAAGACTTCGAGGCAGAGGGAGGTGATACTGCCACTCGGTCGGAGAAAGGCCCTTTCATCTGTCGCCTGCTGGCTTGCAACCGCATTCCGCTCAGAAACCGTGAAGCTTGGCCCCAAGCTGCGCAACGTGATACGAAGAGGTACGCCTCGCAAGCGATCGGTCTATCTTGCTGTGAGGCTCGGTTCGGCCGAGGTTGCTACTCGAAGCCGTTCTTGGCGGGTCGCAGTGCCTCAGCTAAAACTTCTGCGCAGTAGAAAACGTTGAATGCATGTGTTCACTGCTTCGGCTCCCCTTGCTCTGCCGTCTGCAGCTCAGGGAAGAACGCCCTTGGAGGATATGCTTTGGAAAGCATCGCTCAGCACCTGAGCGTGGCAAACCGCACCACTACAGTAGGTGCTGAGGCGGTATTGATGAGCTCATTTGTCAAACCACATTTGTGCTGTAGTTTGGTTTCGAGCCGAGAACTGTGATAACCGTTTCAGCCCAGCAAGTGCGCTGTGACAACCAGGCGGCTCTGAAACTCAACTAGATTTGATTGTGTTGACATGTGGTTGTCTCAGAGTTAGGTCATGGTAGTCATGTTGAAGGGGTAATCCGATCTTGCGGCAAGCGCAAACAATGTAGCACTTATGTTCCTGAGGGCGTACCTCCTTCGCAGTCCCGCGGTTTCGGCATGTTTTGGGCCCGTACGAAGTGGCAAACATCATCTAAGAATCATAAGACTCAGCTCCATGCCTGGCCAAGGTGCTGATTCCTCTCGTTCACTGCCTTCAACCAAACACTGCTCGCCGAGCAATACTCTACCCTTGCAAGACTGTCGGCGACTGGTTGTTGCTGGGCCGTTCAGATATCCTTGTGAAGGTAGTCAGCTCGACTGGAGCAACAGACAGAAGACATCTGTAAGAGTTTCGCAGGCTCCTTAGCAGTACCATGCATGTGCGACGTTTTGTGATTTGGTTCTCAATCGCGACATGCGTCGGGAGGGGTCTTCGCACCTGCTGCCCAGAAGCCAGATGCACGTTGACCGTGCAAACCTGTCGATTCTGTTTCGCTGCGCGGCTGGTTCTTACAGGCTTTTGGCGCACAGCTTTCACAACAAAAGCTCACTTCACACCGCATGTCTGAGAGCATGAAGCCACCAAGCCACCAGCCTGAAAATGCATCCTGAGTCACGGGCTGATATCGAGCCGAGCAGAAACCTTCATGATCGTATGTGGGACGACTGATCCTGTTCGAAGAGCAACAACTGCCCTGTACGGTCGCAGGCCTGGCGCAAACGCCGCCTTTGTTTCCACCAATCCCATCCAAGCCTGCGTGAACAACACCGTCGAAATCTGTCCAGCGGTGCGAGTGCAGACGGCACGGACGTTTCATAGCTCCAAGAGACCATGATTCCGAGATGTGTCGCTGCTCCCTTCAAGCGACAACTACTACATTCGCAGTGGAAAAGGCAAAGAACACAGGCCTTCAGCCCGAGCTCTCTTCCTGGTGTTTTTTCTGCAGTGCGCCCGGGGCGAGCTGGACAGACAAGGTCTGCATCAGCTCAGGGCAAAGGGCTGAGGCGCAGCGATGGCCACACGCAGCTTCCTGCCCATGTCCTCTTGGTCCTCGTATGGCGGGACGTCCACGACCCAGAAGCAGGTGTGAGCCGATGGCAACTGGTCCAGGTTGTCTGTGGGCATGAACCGGATAGCCAACTTCTGCCCCGCAGGAAAGCGACGGCTGGCGGGAAGCCGGCCAATGCCGGTGGCAAAACGAAGGAACATGGACAGCTCCTCGGCCGAAAACGAACCCAGGACCGCCGTGAAGTATTGAATCTGCGTCTCGTAGCCATACCCAGGTTTGAATTCCAGGTTCGGCAACACAGCCTCCGGGGTCAACGGAACGCCTTCCAGCAGCTCCACGATCTGCTCCCCTGTCATTGAAGACCACATTGCTGTCCGCCGCCCCTGTGTAGTAAAGCCAGCGGCCAAAGCTTGGTAAGCCAACCACCTGTCTCCACCCCCGAGATACTTGAGGTAGAGATCCCAAAGGAGCACCCACTCGAAGGCGGCACCGTCGAGCAGGAGCTTGCCCTCCGATGATGGTGAAGCGAGCCGAGCAAGCAAACCGTAAGCCGCCGGCTCCAGCATGGCCTCCACGGTCTCGAAACTTTCCGTGGACAGCGCGGACACCACAGAACGACCATCCATCGGCTCCTGCACGCGTTGCGCCAGCATCCAGCGGTATCCGGCCTCTTTCTGAGGGTCTGCTCGACGAAGTCGCCGGAGAAGGTCGGATAGCTGACTGAGAGCCCAATCATCGCCCTCGGCATCTCTCCTCGCGATCATGCGGTCGATACTCTTTCCAACATCCTCCTCGACACCTGCGCCGAGGTCGTCGGGTGGCAGCTGTGGCAACCTTCCGAGAGCGCAATCAAAGACGGCACTGCTCAGGCCGAGGGGTGCATTTCCAAAGTGGACGAGCGCACGGAGAAGCATTGCACCGACTGTGGTCCACGTCTGTCTCCACTGCTGCACGCTCTGCTGGGCGCGTTGACGGTCGTTTACGAAGAGGGTCAGTACCTCAGAGCCATCCATGCCGGCTTTCAAGACAAGACTGCTGCTCTCCAGCTGCTCAAAGAAAAGCGTCACGACCTCTCTCCGCAGCCCACCACCATCAACGCCACTTTCGTCGCTGAGCATGACGCGCCATTCACCCAGGAGTGCTTCTTCTCGCCATTCGCCCACCTTGGACCCGGCGATGTCGTCGAACACCGTCTCGCGGGAGAGCATCAGAGGTTCTTCGACGCGCTTCCCACGGAACTCCTCTCGAAGCAACTCGGCAGAGCTGAGGAAGCTCTGGGGCGCGCTTCCTGAGGAGCCTAAGAGTCCTCGGCGTCGCAGAAAGCCCAGGGGTTCCAGGGCTCGGTGGCTGGATGCGGATGTTGCGGAAGGCCTCGTTGAAGGCTTCTCAGCGAGCAGTAGCTGCAAGAGGTCTGCCAAGTCTGCATCGGTACGCTCTTCGGGCAAAGAGCGGTGTCCCCGAGTTGGATGATATGGACAAGAAGAGACCTGAAGCTCCAGGCCAAGGAAGGTCTTGGCCATGGCCACGCCAGCACTGTAGACGTCAGCGGGCTTGGTGGGCACTGTCAAAGGATCTGCCTCCAGCTCTGGTGCCGCATAGTCCGCCGTCGGAGCCGGCCACCGCTCCTCCGCCCCCGGGACTTGGAGAGCACACCTCCTGAAATCCGCCAGCGCCGGTCGCAGATCAGCCCACAGCAACACGTTCTGCAGCGTCAGATCTCCGTGGCAGACACCGGCAACATGAAGTTGGCCGACGGCCTGCCAAGTCTGCCTCCAAATGCTTTGCCCCCGCACGAACACATCTGCATCACGTCCTCGCTGCAATGCATCTCCATGCTTAGCACACCACTGTTCAAGCGTCCCTGCTGGACAGTGAGGAAGTTGCAGGTAGGTGCAGCCTGCCGATTTGAAGACGTCCATGAGCGACAAGACCTGCGGGTGACCTCGCAGCTTCAGGAGCGCCTGAAGTTCTCGGAGGCAAAGGTCTCGCTCTGCTTCTGGATACGCCTTCAAAACCACAGCCTCGGCAGGTGCGGTCTTTTTTCGGGCGACCACAGTGCGGATTCCGTTGCCCAGCGGGGTGGTGTCGAAGCCAGCGAAGGCATCGACGCGCAACTCGGCACGCTGTAGCAGCGTCTCGGCATCCATGTTGTCCAGTGCGGCGGCCGAAGGCTTTTCCTTGACCAATCGAATCGGAGAGCTGGGAGAAGACGCAGCTCGCAGATCGTTCTCTGCCTGCTTCGCACACCAGCGGCTGTGATGCAGAAGCCTTTCCAAGAGTGGATCTGCATGGGTTGGGCCAGCGGCACGCAGAGCACGGGCGAAGCCAGCAATGCTGGTGATCTCCACGAGGCCCAGTTGCGCCCACTGCGCAGCCAGGCGCATCTCTGCGACGAGCGCGAGGTGAGCTTGATCTAACTTCGACCGCGCAGCAGTCAAGGCCTGGGTCGAAGGCGAAGGCTCTCCCTGACGCCGGCAGCGAGCTCTGACACGCCGGTGCACCGAGGAAGCCTCGATAAACTCCTCCTCTGCACTAGTGAAGGCCAACTCAGCAGTGCCAATGCGCCGCGCCATCGCTGCAGCAGCACCATCTGCGAGCTCACAGAGGCTCGAGAACTTCGCCCTGGCCTCTGCCAAAGCTGAAGGCAGTTCACGGCCGGCACGGCCTGCGGCATCGATTTCTTTGTCCAAAACAGCAAGGCATCGAAAGGCCGCAGCATCGCGCTGGCGAAGAGCCTCCGCATCTTCGATGGAGCCCAGCTCGTCGAACTCGTCCCACAGCCGGCGCTCTGTAGCATCGTAGACTGTCAGCTCACCGAAAAGGCTGGTACCTTGCGGATTGGGTAACACGGCCTGCACACGGTCAAGTCGTAGCCTCGGTACGGAAGCGGATGTTTCCGGCAGGTCGACATTAGCTGTTGCGGCTGCCTGTGCCAGGGCATTGAGTGAGGAGTGCGCGCCGATCTCGGGCCAAAAGGAATCATCCGAGCTGAAAGACCGGCGGAGCGGAGGCGGCAGTCTTGGCGGGGAGTGGGCCACGAGACTCGCCTCCTCCCGGAACCTTCGTGCCTCTGGGAAGAAAAAGCTCACATTAAGTGGTGGAGCATCCTGAAATGAGCTGGGGCAGAAAATTGAGATGTAAGCCATCTTCACTTCTGTAGGTGGGTGTGGCGCAGCCAAATACGGAGCCAGAAGCAGAACAGATGCGGGGCCTCGGGCGGCGAACGCGAGCTTGAAGTACTGCAGTGCCCCGAAGCTGACGGGAAGGCCGAGGATGGGTCGCACCACAAGGCGGCTCCAGAGAATGCCAACCTCCTGCGATCCGATCTCCACGTCCTTTGCAGCAAGGAATGTAGAAAGGGCGTCCACAAAGGCAGCGAGCCAGTACTCTGCATGCTCCCCGTCGAAAGGCACTGCAGCACCGACAGGTGGCATGGTTTGGAGGAGGAGCTTCCAAGCCGAGGCCTCGATCCTGAAATCGCCCCGCACCGTCGAGGCAGTGTCTGCAGCCAGGCGACCAAGGACGCGGCTACACCTTGCTGCCGCAGCTGGTGCCACGGCCCCTCCACCGGGCTCTAAAGCGAGGGACAGCGCCTCCGCAGTCATCAGCGGCAGCAGAGGCCGGAGACCCGCGTGCGAGAGCAGAGCTCTGAGTGAGCGCAGTGCAAAGGCCAAAGCCTCTGTTCGGTCTGCATCCTCCTGTCTGTGTCCCCACTGCAAGAAACGGAGCAGGTACATGATGGCTAGGGAGCGGTTCAGGGAACTAGCGTCTGTGCTGTTTGGATCATCGCCCGCAGCCAGGGCTACATGCGTGAGCTGCACCAGAAGGTCGACGCCTTCCAGCGCCAGGGCGGAGAAAGGCCACAGACCGCAAAGGCTGTCGATCAAGTCAAGGGTTGCCTGCACTGGCAAGTTAGCCGAAGCCGAGGCCAACGCGCCTTGAAGCGCAAGGCGGCATGTGGCCGGGATGGAAGAAGCAGGTGACAGAGCACCGGCCTTGGCCAGGGCACTCACGAGCTCTGCAGGTGCGAGGACTCGTCGTTGCAGGAGAACCACAAGGAGACCAGCTGCACGCTGCTGCACACGGCACGCGCCAAGCGATGCAAGCCGTGCGAAGAAGCCTGTGGTCTCCAGCCAATCGCGGATGCTGTCAGGAGAAGCACCTGCGCTGCCACGCTCCAACAATGTGCGGAGGACATTGGTAAGCCAGTCGAGCGCTTCTATGCCATCTGCATCGGGAATGCCAGGGCACTGCACCACCAGCTCTGAGGTAAGCTGAAGAGACAGGCCGGAAAGGATGTCGACCACCTGACTCTTCGAGTAAGCCTCTGAGAGGATGCCCCCGAGTTCATTCACAACCTCCTTAAATCGCACAACCAACATGCGCCGCTCACTTCGCACAGCCAAGTCCGTCAGTCGCCTGCAGAAAGTCTCCCGAAAGCCCTCAAGGCTTCTCATCATGTTTCCTGTGCGTTCTCTCTGGCGCGCGGACGCAGCGAAGCGTCGAGTGACTTCGCGGAAGCTGCGCACAGCGCCGACCACGGCATCCTCCTCCACGTGGCAAGCCGCCTTGCCCATGAGAGTCAGTCCTTCCAGTTCGTCGAAGGACAGGAGCATCGATGCGCCCAGGCCCGACTCTGAAGTGAGGAGCGCCGACACGGTCTGGAAGACCAACTCAGCAGCCCGTCGCCCACGCAGCCGCTCGGCGCCCTCCTCAAGGCGGCCGCAGGCGGCCATGCGCATCCAAGCAGTGCAGAAGCCGAGGATGGCTTTCAGCAGGCGCTGCGCCGCGTCCAGCGCATGCTGGTCCATGGGCGGCAGCCGCTCCAATTCGACTACGGTCGAGCTCGCCAAGGACAGGAGCTCGAAAAGTGCATCCTCGTCTGTGTAGAAGTCCGCATGGACGGCCAATGCTCTCAGCTGGGCTTCTCCATTCACGAACTTCCGCAGCTCCTCGTCCTGCGCCGCGGCGGTCGCCGCCGCCGCAGCTTGCCGAACTCGCATTCCCGGCTCATCTGTCCCCTCCGGAGCATAGCCTCCGGCCAAGGGCTCGTGCTGCGCTATCCAAGGTGGTTGCATGGGAGGCTCCATGGCCCACAGCGAAGGAGATATTGCGTCTTCAAGACTATAGTAAATCAAGGCTTTGCAAGTCTAGTGCGCTAGCAGAATGTCAGGGTGTCAGCGTCTGGGAGTGTGCAACGGCTATACATGACAACTATGTAGGCATTGCTCTTTCTAGCTAGCTGCGGTCTCCGAAAAACACGCAACAACCATCGGACATTCTAGCATCTGCCGCTCTTCACCATGCAACGTTCGTGCAAGTGTTTAAGGGATGCGCACACAGTCTCGCCTGTCTTGACCCGGTCGATGCGCAGCTGTCTCACGTACGGCCTTGCATGGGTGCAGCGAGAGAGAGCTCCTGGTGAAAGGAGAAGGCACATCGGCGCTCTGGCGGGATGAACCCACTGCCATTGACAGCTTTCTTGCACCAGTCCCTGGTTCACGATACCACGGCTGCCCTGACCCCGGAGCTCCAGAATCCATCTGTCAACGCAAGCCACTCAGGTGCAGGCTGCAACCAGGACTGAATGTAGATGAGCAAGGCCTCACGTTGCCAGTGACCCCCCCACCAAGCTTTGGAAGGAAGAGGCAGGAGAGCTTGACTCTCGCATGCCTTCAGCAATTCAGCATACAGTACATCTCCGAAAAAGACTGTTTTCCCCGAACCCCTGCAAGCTACCCTGCTCTTTGTCACGGTTCTCAGGCGTCACTAACTTGGTTTTAGCTCGGCCCACGGCGAGGCCGACCATGCCAAAGCTGCAAATCTTCACGTAAGTGCTCGGGCTGCCTTTCGTGGTGTGTAGCTGCTGCAACTTTGGGCTTCGGACAATTCGATTTTCGCAGGCATGCGCTTCAGCAAGCACTCCTGCGATCGTTTAGCAAGCATTGCCGAACTACCTGCCTGCAAGGAAAACAGCACAGAGCCAATGCATCCCACACTCCCACAGCATCTTCGACAACATGTCAAAGGTCCGAAACGGCGAAGTCAACAAGGACGTCTGAATCCTTCACAAGGAACCATGGGCTTTTGGTGACTGCAGGTCCGAAACTGCTGGAATATCCATTGACGCTGCGGTCCATATTCTTCGACTGAAGCCCTGGATGCGATAATACCCGGTCCCAAGACTGTCTGACACTCGGTCCCCCAAATCTTCGACCCGAAAGTGCTGCTTGCCGATCTTGGTCATGTGCATTTTTTGGGCCTTCGCGGCCCTGTGCCGCTTTCTGTGAATTGTGTCAAGCATCATTCACTCGGGCCTGGCGGCTGCAAAGCCTGCCTGAGAAAGCACCCGGCTTCAATCGCTGCGATATTATTCGGTACCACCACATGAGAACATGTGAGAACCATGTGATCGAAGTACTGAGTATGCTTTGGTTGACGTGGCATGGGGTGCCTGATGACGCCTGCGCAGGTCCCAGGCACAACGTAAAAACAATCCAGAGCCGGCCTAACTCGTTCGTCATCAAACCTTTCCTTTTCAGCAAAACTACAAGAGTGAGGGCCTTTGTCGTTGCGTGACAAACCTGGCTTTGTATGACTTCCATCAGACTTCAGGAGCTTGAGAAGCAGAAGGTGATTTGGGACAGACCTCCCAGAACAAAGGTGTTGACCAATGTTCCCCTTGAGCGACAAGCGACCGAGGCCGTAATATTGCAGAATCCCAGACTGAGAGCAAGACTCCACACGCGTCTCCAAGGCGGCCTGGCCTCGAGGTTCGCAGCCGATTGCTTCACGATGGAAGCCCCCAAACCAGAGCTGGTCTGAGGCTGCAGCGTTGCTCGTCGCCGCAGGTGTTCAAGACCTCGCGGCGGCGTTCAAGACACTTTTATGTGATGAGCGCGCTGAGAAAACGTAAGTGCATGGCTCTTTGTAGACTTGGCTGAAGACTAGATGCACATCTGCGGGCCTCTGCCCTAGCCTTAACCCCTTGAAGCACAACCTTTGTTGCTGCCACCGCCGAAACATGAGACGTGACAGGATGCCACCGCAACAGGCTGTCCACATTTCGCTTCTTTACCTTCATCTCGGATGCGAAAGCGAGATTTGAGATCTACACCATGGTCTTTGGGCCAAGGTCCACGAGCTCCTTCGGACAACTTGTGTAGCCCCAGAGTGCAGGGATCACACCCAGCACCCTCGGAAGGGACAGGAGCGCTCTTTCTAGGAGTCTGGGGCACCGACTGCTTTAGGACCGCTGGGGACTCTCGAGCTGTCCTGGACACCAAGAATGAGGACGTCTGCTCCATCCTCGTCGGGCCTGAAAGCAAACGGGATCTGCGGAGGTCTAGGGCTTCGAGTGGGGAAGGTGACAGGCCTGACTTCGCCCCAAAGAGTTTTTTTGAGAACAGTCGACTCATGTCCGAAGGTACGACACGCCAAGATTTTCCTGACCCGATGCTGAAGAAGCTTTCCGCCAACTTGCATGTCTGACAACCTTGCCGGCCTCAACCATCGCTGGATGTTGTCTGAAGGATCGACGGGGTTACCGTGCAAGTTCCATGTACACCTGAGGCACACATGAAGCCCGGGATGACGGCAGGATGGATACTCTGACTACCTTCACTTGCAGCACAGCACGAATGAAAGCTCGGTGCATAGCACACGCTAGTACGAAGGAGCTGAAATGCCAGCCTTCCATTAGTTGTCGAAAGCGATGGGCGATCACACTGCTGCGAAAGGATGAGGCCGATTAGACCGGTCATCCGGTGAAACGGCCACTGACAAAAGCCAAGAGCAAGCCTCGCTGTCTCCAGATCTCAAAAGCGGGTAAGTCTTCTTCTGTGCTCAGCGAAGCATGGCGGTCAACCTCTTTGCAGTAACAGCATTTCACAGTTGCAAACTACGCACTACTGAGAGGTTACTATAGTCACATGCAGGATTAGCACAGGTGGACGACTAACATTCTTCTCGAGGTCTCAGAGCTTCTGCTCTGTCAGGCGCTGCATAATGGCTTTCGATAGCCAGTTGGATATGTAGACGGCCGCTATGATGTAGAGCACAACAAAGATAAGGACGAAGGTCGCGATTGGCTTGTGGCGCTTTGCCTAGGCTGCAGAGCGACAGCAACACCGAAAAGTCGCCAACGTTTGCACTGTGTTTGGGGGCGTCCTGTTTGACTTGCTCGGGATTTGGAATGGCCAGATCTCAGAGGACAGGACAAACTGAGGCCTCGGAGGATTCCTTTCAAGATGCCTGGTCTAAGGCTCCCCGCGTTTACGCACCGCCCTAGAGGAGCATATTCAGGACGCCGAGAAATTGTCGGAGGGCCCCAAAAACACAGAGCAACACGCATTCGATGACCTGTTAAACCAGGATCACGAAATCAAAACCTCGAGGTTCTGAAATGAGATGTGGGTAGCCAGCTGGACGAAGTCCTTCAACGTCTCTGGCATTTTGAAATCCTCCTCTGAGCCGGCGTCCTCCTCTACACGGGCGTTGCTTGGAACCACGTCTCGAACCTGGCCTGTTAATGAAGTTCGCGGGTCCTGGTTCTGCGGAACCTGCTTCGTGAGCTGCTTCATGGCCTCAGCTGTCGACGGTGGGTGTCGAGCGAAAACGGCGACATGGTAGGTTCTTCGCTAAGAGCTGCGGTGCCGAGTGGCGGCCATCTGCTGATCCAGGTGCGCCTCGGCTCGCTGGCTTCAGGCCGAAGGATGGCCTTCGGTGGCCTTGTGATTGGGTTTTGTCCCGAAGCTTCCTTTATGAAGCCGAAGCCGGATCCCGTGCAAGACGAGCAAGCCCGCCGGCCTTGGTCTCCGGGTTATCGTCCAGGTGATCCTCCCAAAGCCTCAAACAAGGCATTTTGATCGCCCCGCAACGAGTATCATGTCATGTGATTCCTTTTTTTTGCTTCGGGACTCCATGTGATTCCGTGGGAGTTGGAAATTCCTGCAATCCTATGTCACTAACCTCAACGGTCCTCTCTTCGCGGCTCAGAACCTAAACAAAAGTGTGTTGCAAGGTGAGGGGCATCTCGAATTTGTCTCCGAAGCCGCCATCCTCCAAGGCAGCCCGGCCGCTAAGGTAGACGTTGAGGGCTTCCTCCTTCCGCTGTCTCTGAACCCCTTCCTTCCATCGCATACGATACGCACGGAACGGAGTCGTTGCTGGGTGGAGTTTATGGACACGCAGATGGTAAGGGTCGAGGTCACTAGTGCAGGCGTGTCTCGAGGCACCTCCGTTCGTCGCCAGCTGAAGCTTGAGGTTTACTCTTGCGTGTGCGAACTTACACCTATGGGGCTATGTGCATCATCGGCCTTCTATGGCTATGGGAAATGGTCTCAGAGGCAGTTACTTTCAGGATCCGAGAGGTTACTGTAATTCGACTTTTGTTTCTTGCTGTATAGGGCAAAGGATGCGGCGAACAGCACGCCCCGAGCTCCTTCGTCGAACACATTGTCAAGGCCACCTTCAAACGCTCGGAGGCCTCTGTTCCCTGACCCAATGCCGCATGCGCACGGAGGAGGCCGAGATTATTCCTTAATGGCACGAAGAAACATTGACTTGCCTTGGATGCTGTCCTAGGACAAAAGCCAGCCTGGGCAGGATTCACACCAAGTTGTTTGTGCGACCGAGGCGCGATCGCCGAAGTCGTTTATTTCCCTGGTCCTTGTAGCATTCTTGTGCACGGAGGAGAGCTCGAAGGCTGCCCTCAAAGTCCTGTCTTGAGTCTGACAACCAGCACTCTCAACAGAAAATGTTGTTTTGGGAGCAAAGGCTTCTGTGCAACCTGGAGGAGTTTTCCGATCCTGGTGCAGGAAGAGGGATCGTGCGTGGAGCTGATGCGCATCTCCTTGTCGTTGCCTGACTTCAAGCAGCAGACGGCGGACGGGCTTCACAAGCAAAGAACTTCAGCTTTCAACATATGGTGCCCTTTCCTGCTGAGGAAAGGAAGCGAGAACTTCATGACGAGTTCGCAGGTTTCCAGGCACCGCTTGTCTCTGGGGTTAAGCACACCGTAGGCTTCCTGAGCCAAGCGTATGAGTGAGACGGAAGAAAAGGCTTGATGCTCGGTGCACTTTAGGCCAGGCTCTGCGAGGTCAAGCAGCTTGTTGGGCTCGGTCACCTTGGACGCTGCCTCCCAGAACAAGGGCGCTGCAGCCATTGGGGAAGAGGAAAGCACTGACACTTCGGGCACTGCCCGCTCTGTAGACATCCTTCTGCAGTGTTTCGGGCCTATGACCTTACACATGCAGGGGCGGACCTCGGTTCTCTCTTGGAACCGCTGGAGAGTTCTTTGTCTTTTCAGAACTTCCAATCTTCACATCCAATCCAAACTCAGGCTCCCAATGCTCGGCTCTCCACAGGCTTCCGGGACTTCCAAACTCACCAGGCTGAATAAGGTTGGGTACCTACCCTAAACGCAGTCTAACTGACACATGGGCAAAAGGGTTACAGTTAGGCAAACCCGTTCTCCCACCCAAGCTGATCCCGGTGCGTTTGCCAACGCTGCGGGAATCCTATCTACCGGCGTGAACCCCGGCTGGTCCGTGCCTTCTCAGCCGTCGCGATCCTTGCTTCCAGCTGCCTCGGAGCCGCGGAGGCCGGCAAAGGCAGCTCAGCGAAGGAGCAAGAGAGGTGACTGAGGTGATCAAGATTGATCAAGTGTAGGAAGTCATAGAGTTCGTGCAGAAAAGATGGCTAGGCACTGTTTGGTGACATCTTCCTCGCGCGACTCGGAGTTCTCCGCCAACCTGACGACACAAAGAAGTACATGCACGTACGCACATCCACACAGAGCGGCAAAGCGCCAAGCTCTGAACCAGCGCTGTTCAAAAGCCACCTCAGCCATTGCCGGCCGAGTTGCCAATCATCTTTCAAAGCTTTGATGAAAGGGCTGTCTGGCTCGGGGGGATCCTCCCAGAGGTCATACAGCCAACTCAGTATGCCCGACATTGCCGCAGCCGCGCAGTCAGGATGACAGTAGCGCAGCGACAGGGGCTGTTGCAAGATGTCGCAAGCTTCGTCTCTGGATACTTAACGTGCCCTCTATTTGTGGCATCGTGGCAGGTGCTGTTGGACTCAAGGCGTGCGGGCTAGTGCCAGTTTGCGTGGCTGTGTGCTCACATGGTGCTAACTGTCGATGTGGTGTCCGACTGCCAAGTCAAGGCAGAAATCGTCAGCAAACATGCCACGGAATGCGCAACTTTGCCACTTGACCATGCAAAAACTGGATCATCGCCAAGCACAGCACACGCGAATCTGAACAGGAGGTAGAGGGCCATGGTTGGGCCTCGGGACGGGGAGGTAATGGATGGGTTTGGGGTGCTGTGTAAACTCAAAGTATCTGAGTGCCAGCAGCACTTTGGAACTGCAGGAAGCCATGTTGTCTGAAGTCTTGCACCATGAAGAGTTTGAATGGTACAGGGCAAAATGTATAAACTTGGACGTTACTGTGTCCCGGTTCTCTGCTGTGGAAGCACCACTCTGGTGGCACCCAGGGCCACTGAAGTAGATCCATACCGAAAGCCTAAGGACCGAAGCCATGCAGTATACGGGTACAAGAAGGGTTGCCTGGGGCAGAAACTCATCCGATTGGAAAGGCGACCGTGCTGTACTGGAAGCCGCACCTGAACAAACCCCGGAAAACGGAAAGACGATGTTTGACTCCCGAGTGCGGACTTCACTAGCTTACGCTGTGAGCTGTCTACTTACCCGCACAAAACAAATTGAAGAAGAAAGGATGACGTCGCATGATATCTCATCCGTTGCTTCTACAGGAGCACGGTGCGTGTGCGTGGAGCCGGTGCCTGTGAGTTTACCCTACTCCGCGACTGAGCAATGCCTGCATCGATTTTGCCATTTGTCTACAGGTCCAGTTAGCCTGAAACTACATAAGCAACGAATTAGCAGGGCTTGGACCAGGAGCTCGTCTGTCCGAGTCCGAGGCCCAATTCCTAGAAGTTGAAACTTCCTTCTGCTGACGGCTTACAGTCACTTTGCACGAAAGTGAAGCGGGGACGGATCTATTCACGTCCAGCGCCTAATTCCAGCAATACAGCTTGGTGAGACTGATTTCGGTTTCCTTACTTTGCAAGTCATGGATACATCAAATCACATGTCACATCACATATGCCGTGAGATAGAGAGAGAGAGAGAGAAAAAAAAAAATGCACAAAACGGGGCCAGCAAATGAAGGCGAGTTCAATGATGTCTCAAGACCAAAGGCGTAGACGGCACGTTTATGCAGTGTATGTGCAATCCCACGGTCTGGGCAACACCGCCACATTCAATCGCGTTCCAGGAATCTCTTCCTTGCCACTTCTAGCGCTGTCCGCCCTGAGGAGTTCCTGAGCAGGTTCCGAACCGTAGAAGCGGTACGCTCAGCTAAACAGGTGAACCGATCTTCTTCTGGACAACCAACCGCCCCGGTCTGCATGATCAGGGGTGCCGTTGCAACCGTAGCTTCAGTCCAGGGATGAAGGGGGATTAAAGCGAAAGTGACCGATGCAGGCTTCCCCGCTTGAACAAGGTCCTCGAGCAAATTCCTAGAAAATGAATAATGCAAGGGCAAAGCGTCTTCTGGTCTGCCGTAACGCCTGCTGAAAGCAGTAGGGCCACCACCTCAGTTGCCGGTGCTGTGATGCGTCTCTGTGCATCTGACCTGCGTTTGCGAGACTGTTACGGCTCCGGCCTTTGTGTTTCCTTTCTCTGCTGCCACATGCAGCGGATAGGTCGTTCGCCAAAACCTCCGTCTACCTTACATGGGCACAGACTTCTGCTACAATGTTTCCTCACAGTCCGTGTAGAATGGCATGAGTTCGCCCCAGCAATCAAGGCAGCTGCCAGAAAGGCGGACTGGCGACGGGCTTTGCTACGGAAATCTATCGCAGCGAGGTTCTAATCAGGCAGCTAGGTGCCAAACCTGGTTTCTGTTTGCTTTAGGTCCCCGTTTGCACACGACAGCCTGGCCTTGGTGCGGATCGTCAAACCCGTTGTCAGCAAGGAATTTGTTGAGCAGTTTGCCATCTTCATCCAGCTGGTCCTAACACAGTGGACGGAAAGGTTGGAAATTGCAGGGAGGTGATGATTATATGCATTGAGCTACGGTGTTTATCTCCTTCAGGTCTTTTGACTGGTGCTTGACCCGCCCCCCGTGCCCAAGGGAACAGTGGGGGCGGGGGAGGGACCGCAAGCTACACGCACGGCAATACACACACAGAGACATACGTATAAAATTGTCTGCATCTGTATCTGTACATGTGCTCATGGATGTGTATGCATGTAGGCATGAATGAGTGCATGAAGTTGTGTGTGTGTGTGTGTGCACGTCACCGCATGCGTGCTCCGTGCTTGTCTGTGCTGCCGTGCAGCAGTGAGCTGCATCATGTTGATCTATTTTGTCGCATGCCAGAACCAGACCTAGGCATGGATGATAAATCGAAAACCCTACCCACTGCAGAAAGGATCAACAAACACAGTTGCACGCGCAGATGGAAACCGCGTTTCATCAGAATGTCAGGCCGTGGTGTCAACCTGCACAATCCAGATTGAAGGACACCTCGGGCACCTAAGCGCCTGCTCAGCTGTTTCTGCATCTACTGGTAAGTTATACGAGTCTTTGAAACACGAAGATATCAGAAACATATTGACTGCTGAAGCTGTTGTCGAAGAGATGTCTTGGCAGTGGCCGAGGCTGTCCTCTGGGGAGCTGCCCTTGGAACTTGAAGTGGGCAGCCCTGTGCTGTCGTCCTGGCCGCTTCGCAAGCTCCGCAAGTTCAAAATCTGCCGAAGACAATCCTGAAGCTGTCCTGCTTGTCGATACTCTCGTCCAATTCTATCTCCTCCTCCTCTGGAAGTGCCGGAGCGTGAGACCTGCAAAGCAGGCGCGACTCTCAAGTCCGGCTAGGCTAGACCACTGGATCTTCGGGATGCTGGTTGAAGTGATTCGAGCAGCAAGCATCTCCAACTAAAGCGACACGAACATCCAGGGGTCAGGGCAATGCTCGCCCAATCGCAGCCTGTCGCACAAGCGGCCGCCCTCCATGTCCTGGCAAAAAAACTGTGCCATGGCTGACCAGCCAAACGGACAACATACCACTGCTCGGAGAAACAACTATCAAAACGCCCTGACAGACATAGCTTCGAAGCTTCTTGAAGCTTCGGCCCTGATTCTGCTTTTTGTTTCCCTGCAGGACCCTACGGCCCACCTGCTTGATCAGTTCCAAAGCAAGGAGACGCTCATCTTGCCTCTCAGGCTGGCTCGTCTTGCAGGTCTTGTGGGCTTTCAGACGGCAAGGTCTTGTGTTTACGGCTCTGGGGACAAGGCGGCTGTGGGCATGTATGTGCTCCGGCCGTACTCTGTACTACCGAGGGCCAGTCTGAAATCCAAGTGTTCTCCCCGGTGAGGCCGGGGTTTATGCGCAAAAGGCCGCCAACCGGATGAAAAGGTACAAAAGCGAAGAAGGAATGCTCACGTCCGGATTGTACGCAGAGCACGGCTGCCACTTGACCCCTAAGTTTCCAATCCATACAAAGCTTGTGTCGCCGTCTCCGAGGCCTGACACCGAGCTCTACTGGCGTCTCTGCTGCGGGTATGGCCTGCGCAGCCCGGGCCAGGGGCTCGTTCGGAGCATCAACAGTCAGTCGCACGACTTGGGTTCGGTTGTCCGTACTGTTCATTCAGACAAAGTCCGTGGAAGGTGCGTGGGTCTTGAGGGGGAATACCCCAAAATGGCCTGCTCGTACTCTAGTTGCTGGCGCTCGCGCTCTTGGATCTTTGCTCGAAGCTGCCTGCGAACAAGCTGGCAGAACGAATTTCCACACATGTGCGACGCAGAGACCAGTGTCTCCGTGTAGAATTGGATGCGTCTGCCACGTATCTCTGGCCAGGCCCAGCAATTCACAACACTCACACACGAAACAACTTGGCTGTTCAATGCACCAAACGGCGAAAGCTGAAGGTGTGAGAACACATCCCACAGATGGTGCGCAGTGCAGCTGCATTGCTTGTCACAACCTCTGAGTACCGAAAAGCACTGGCTCGTCCATCCAACAACCTATAGATCTAAGTTTAAACTTGACTAAGTCAACCTCGAAGGCTGCGCTTGTTGCGGTCGTGAGCTTTCAACTTAGACCCCTGTTTCAACAACTCAAGTGTTGACATCCCGAAAGAACTCGCTTTGTGGAGGACTGGCAGGGTTCTACATGAACAAATTCGAAAGTGCGCCTTTCCCACTCGGCCTTTGCCAACATTCCTCGATCCATCCTCGAGCAAACCCCCAAAAGCTTTTGTCGAGGGATTGTCAAGCTTTGTGGTGGCAACGGTGCTCGAGACTACTCTGTCGCCTCGCCAGTTCCTCGTGTTTTGGATCCTAGTTCAGCTTGGGGGTCGGAGGTCACCCAGCACCGCGACCCTGGACTCAAGGGTCAAAGCCTTCTGCAACTGGCTTGCAGCATCAAGCAAGGACAGCTGGTTTGGCCTTCAACCCTGAACTCTAAGCACAGCCTTCCTTGTCGCAGGCATGACCGCCTGTACGACAGCTAAACTTAACACTGATGGACTTGCTTCATGATGGCGTCTACAATGCTGGCAAGTGCATGCATGATTTGGGGTCTACGAAGCGCAATACTCCCCTGCACATTACTGCATTTTGCCCAAGCACTTCGTCTCACCCGTTTTGACCAAGGCAGCACGGATGGCACGCGAGGAGGGCAGCAGCTTGGCATCCTTAGTGGCATCACTCCAGACGCCTCCTCAACTCATGGGCTCCACGGATTGGTGTGCCATCGAGGGCAGTGTTACGAGTCTTTTGTGCCCAGCCACTCGGACTCCTGGTACAGCCTCGCTGTCCACACGAGTCAAGTCCACCTTGGTATGTCCGAAGTACAGTCTCTCGGTTCTGGCCAGCAAGTAGCACTGCGAGACAATCCGTCAGGTTCATCGGTGTGTCCCCGCCTTCACAGTGTCCCATGAGGGCAGGCAGAGTCCCAAGTGACTGCCACAGGACTGAAGAGGCGGATTTGAGGCGCCTGTAAGACCGCGTCAGCATACAATTCAACTCAAGTTTGTGAGGTGTGTGGGAGGGAAGGCAGCAGCACTCAGCAAACCACTTAGACCTGTCAACTTGCCAGCCTTGGCCCATTTTCTTGTTGCGACTGGGCGTTGCTGGTTATTCCAGCTGGCCAGACAGACGGTGGGAAGGGCTCTACACCACACAGAATAAACGATGGTGTCTTGCCAGGGTTGGTGTGGCGTCGATTAGGCACGCTAGACGCACGCACGTGCAACTACATGTCGCAGTTGTCGATGAACTCATGGATAAGAACGTCTTGAGCCACTCAGCGTGTTTCAGTTGTGCAGTCAGAACCTTTGAAGCATGCGCCAGTTTCCCGAGAAAAGCATGCTCTTGCCGCTGTAAGGCCAGTCTGAACTTCCGATCTGGACAAAGCTATCCAGCATGCAGCGAGAAGACAACCAATACGAGCATTGCAATTAGAACACTCCTTGTAAGAGATTGAAAGTTCGCAGTTCACGGCGATCGCCATCTTGCAATTCTTGGTGTCCAGAACTGGTGTAGAACGAACTTCCTTATGACCCTCGCCGCACTTCACCCTAGGACCTCCAGTCGCACCAAAGGGCGGCCACACCTGAGCAAGCGACATCTTCGAACTCTCCCATAGTAGATTCCTTATTTTTTCTTAGCCGGGCCAAATGTTAGCAATTTGCCATGCGCAGTCTCCCGGTGTGCTTTCAGTGCTGCGCCTGGCTGTCCACAGCTGCCTTTACCTGCGAACCAATCGCAGGAAACAACGGAGCCCCAGCCAAAGGTTCCCAAGTTGCCACCCATCAGTCGGATGTCCACCAAAACTTTGAAGAGGGACCACGTTTGCTTGTGAGTTGCCGAACTCGCGAAGAAACACTGACCACAGCTGCGGCGGGGAACGTATGCCACAATGGGACCCCTTGTCCCCGGTGCTCTAACCTCTTTCGCACCACTCTCACTTGGGAGTTTCCGAAAACGGGGGACCCTAATATAGTATCCTAAATAGTAGGACCCTTATTATAAGGACCCCAAAATACGGTACCCTTATTTCCGGAAACTCTCACTTCCAGCCTGGCCAGCTTGCACCCGCGCAGCACCGGCCGCTTTCTTGAAAGCAGCCCCAGCAGTCCTTGTGCTTGAGGCTCGCTTCCAGTTCAGGAAGTCTTGATCTGCATGGCGATTGAGGCTATGGGCAGGCCTTATACTGCCATCCCAATTCCCAACCTGCGAATCCCTGCAAGAAACCTTGAAACAAAGTGTGCCTTGTATGGGCAAACCTCTTTTGGGAGAGCTTGGAGGCCCCAGCCCGCCCGCAGCGCTTGCCCAAGCAACGGCACTCGAGAAGTCGCCGGAAGGCCTCAAAGGCACTTCAGATTCGGAACCGGAGCTCTGCTGGCAGGGCAGCCGAAACGCGGCTTAAAAGACATGTCATGCTGAAACCTGTACCTTGGCAGCTGCGACGCCATGCCATTCGTGTCAAATGGCGGCAACTGCCATCGGTGACATGCGCAAGCACTAACTGTCAAGATGTTTCGCAGTCATGGCTTTAAAGGGCGGGAATGGTGAGCTGCATCAGCATCCGCACTGGCTGCTCTGATATAATACTGGAGCCCGGGGGGCACAAACAGAAAGTTCCGGAGGTGTCTCATACCAGAGGTGCTAGCCTGCAGAACAAAGGACTGTCTCTTGGCTGTTCAGTGTAGTCTATCTTCACCATGCCACGGAAAGTAACCAGTCAGCTCCACGATTTGAAACACACCACGTGAAAAGGCATCCCGGCGCAATTTGCCATTTGTTTTCGATCCTCTGTGCCATTGCCGCTATCTTCGTCCTGCGAGCCCGCTGTCGTGTCGTCGTTGGTGTCCTCGACTGCGCAGAGCACAATGATGCATTTCTGCGAGGGACCAAGCCAAATCACTGTCCTGCCGCCTTACTTAGCCTTACTTGTGAAACGCCCCCGAGCTTGTGAGAGATGGCAGAGAGCGTGGCTGGGGCACTCCGGGGCACGCCCAGGACCCGGAAGACCTCCGCTGTATAGTGAGCACCTGTCATTCATCCGGGTCCCGACGAGCCAAACAAACCATCTGAAAAAGTTCCTCTTCAAGACCTGCAACTCGGGACGATTCCGACCTTGACTACAAAGCCTGTGCAAGATGTCATGATCAAGACTTCTCTCTGCTCCACATAGTCTCTGCACAGAACAGACCGCACATGCCGTGCAGCTTTTAGCCCAGTTCAGGTCTGCACCAAGATAGGGGATATTCCACTTGTCCACGAGCGTCTGCCACCTTTGCAAGTAAGTACACACGGAGCACCGCTAGAGCAATGCAGCATGAATTGAATACCGCTTACCCCCGCTTTCCGTAGGCTAGAATCGGGCAAGGGCGAACAGCTTGGGGCAAGCAACAGGTCACAAGCTTTTGATAAGCTGCCACGCTGTGGAAGGCTGGGTGAACGGCGTGTCGAACGAAGACTGGTGAGGCATGTGGGCAGAGCAGAGTCTACGAAGGCCTCAGCCAAACAGGTTGAAGATTCGGCCCCAGCACCCAGATATGACACAAGTCAAGGCCCGAGCTGTCTTGAACAGGCTTCAGTAGCTGCTGCTTGAACCGTGTGTCCTTGAGCTGGAAGCGCACGGACATGACATAAGATCATGCCAGCACGAGTCCAAGCCCACGACGAAGGCTGCACGCTCTGCAGCTCCGCGACTTGATGCAACATTTGCCATGTCGAACCAAAACATTCCAACCTTGGACACCGGCGGCTTCACATATCAAAACAGGCCAACTGACAGAAGGCGTGTCTGAGGTCGTCACATCTCCCTCCAGGCTCAGCTCCTGCAGACCAGAGCATGTTCTCTTGTGCTGTGATAAGCAGATTTATTGTTCGCTGAAACTAGCTGTTTGAGATATCCAAGACGGCAACAGAAACAAGAAACAACTGCAAGGGCACCATTGCACTCCTGCGCAAAGTGCTGCATGGCTTTTGGTAGAAAGCCACTAGGCCTCAGCCGTGTGCAAATTATCGAGCCGGCGGTCACTGTGAATACTGCCTTCTCAGATGCCCTCCCACAAACGGTTCCGTGCATGAAGGCAACATGTAAGTAAGACACTTTCCATTCTAGACGTATCTAGAAACAAGGCATGCAGACATATCCGCTGAATGCAAGACGTCCGATCGAGCGAGGGAACTTTACGACACGCTGACAAACCCAAGCCCGCAAACGCTACAGCAGCACGTGTCTTTGGAACACATGCCTTAAATTCATTTGTTAATGATGCTTCGGCACCCCTTCAAAGTTGCAACACCGTACTTGGAAATCGAGGTTCGGTGCAGGGAGTTGCACCTCCAACAGCTCTGTGGGAAGTTCATGAGAGCGCCAAGCTCGCGGCATCTCCCAGCCGAGGGCCTGCAGCAGGAAACCCGCTGCCCAAGAAGGCTAATCAGTGTACCTATGCTAGGTGTCTCCCAGCCGAGGGCCTGCAGCAGGAAACCCGCTGCCCAAGAAGGCTAATTAGTGTACCTATGCTAGGTGATCTTCTTCTGAGCCATTGTTGAACGCAACTGGCATGCCTTCCCCGTGTTGTGTTTCCTGGTGCTTTGGTATTGGAAGGCATGTAAGAGTAAATGAGCTTCGTTAAATTTCGCAGTGATGTCTGTTATTTCGTGATGTCACACCTCCGAGAAAGGAATTGCGACAGGTGACTTTGCGTATCAGCAAGGCTCCGACAAATGCAGGTATGTCTGCATAAATCCACGTACGTACTTTTGTAGCTGGTCTCATCCCAGGCCGTGCAACAAGCGGTGCATGGCAAGCAGCTGCAGGTCTGGGAGCAGCGAAGCCTGCTTATCTCTGCTGTTCGATGAAACATTAACTATTGCGGCCTGGCCACATCAAAAGCCCAAACCAGGATGGACAGGTCGAAGGCAGTGCATTCACCAATCTTCTCGCCGGCTTGCTCCTGCAAAATTCCCGACAGGCAGCAGCAGTCATGAGCAAGACATACTTTAGGATTGACTTCGGGAACTTCGAGATGTAGCTTCCGGTGCGATTCATCCTCAACAGCAGAAGCGCCAGCAAAAGGCGCAATTGAAGCACCGCGCTGGTCACGGTCGCACAAGCAGAACAAAGTACAAAGGACACAGAGGTGATCGTAATGGCAGTGGCAGGTGCCCTGTGCGGGGGAGACAATACAACGGCATCATCTGCATAGGACGGGAGCATAAATCAGGGGCAGGGGGGTGGACAGAATGAGAGCGGACCTGCACCAGCCCCTGGGCAGTATTGGGCATGTTGCACATGCAGCAAATCTTAAGATATGTAGCCCGGAGAATGATAGCGGCCGGAAGAGCACGGGTGTTCACCACTTGGAGCTTCAAAGGCACGTCTTTGGAGGCAAGGGTATGTTGAACTTGCTTACTACCACTGATCGTGAGTGGCCGTAAGCCAGCGTCGTCCGAAAAACTAGTTTGCACGGCATGTCAAGACTGAGGTGAACTCCTGTACAGGTAATGTAAGTTTCGGCAAGCGAACCACACAACGAGCACGTGGCCGAGCGGGCCAAACGTGCAACAAGTAATTACATTACCATCTATCATCTTCTGACGATGCACGCAATTAAACTTGTTTTGGAGGCGGGATTGTCCATGCCAGTGTGCGCCGTAGCAGAAGCTTCGCGAGATTACTGCGCAACATCCCAGCCCAGAACTACGGACCGCCGCGCAGGCCTTTCATGCACGTGCTGCAGCACGCAGATGGAGGCACGAGCTTTGGGGCGATGTCCGAGCAACCGCTTGCGACATACAAAGTAAGTAGAATGTAGAGTTGAGGCTAGTTCTGTAGTGCTGAAACACAAAGGGGCAATGGGGCTTTTCAGTCTTCTGCACATGGGTCGTAAGAGGGATCGTTTCTTCGATTGAAGAGGAAGGGTTTTGGCCATGTGAAACACGCTCCGTAGTCGCCGACAGCAGCGACGCGTCGATGTAGCCGGGGCGCGTCGGCCACCATGCGGTGTTCCTGGCATGGCTGCTCGGTTTTCAATCAGAGATAAAAGAGACAGACGGAGAGGGAGGAAGAGGAGGGTCCATGGGCAGAATCA